GTGTGTGTGTGTGTGTGTGTATGTGTGTGTGTGTGTGTGTGTGTGTTCAGGTCTGTGTGCCAGGGCCCATGTGGAGAGGGCAGAGGACAATTGTGGGTGTCTCCTTTCACCTTCCACCTTGTCTGAGGCAGGGTCTCTTGTTCACTGTTGTATACACTAGGTTAGCTGGCCCATAAACTTCCAAGCAGTGTCCTGTCTCCATCTCCCATCTCTTGATGGGAGTTCTGGGATGACAGATGTACACTACCATGTCTGGCATTCTGTAGGTTCTGGGGAATCTGGATTCAGGTTGTCACACAAGTACTCTGTACACTGAGCCATCTCCCCAACCCGCTTTCCTGATTTTCATAGGAATTTTATCAGCCAGAGCGAGGAGTGCTTTGTTCTTATATGACAGGTACAGGCTTTGTCCCGCCATTGACCTCTGTAACAAGGCTATAAGGTCCAGACCTGGTCTGGACCCAGGCTGTGGGCAGTAGAGGGCTGAACCCAGACACTGAGCCCAGTGGATGCCTCTCACATTTGGGCATCCAGGGCAGATTCAGTGTCCATCTGCCACATCAGACCAGAGTTAAAGGCTGTGCTTAGCAAGATGATGGAGGTTGGGCTGGTGTAGGCCCAGAGAGGTCTGTGGGAAAGATGGGCCCAAGCAGTGGGGCTGTAGGTACCAAGGGCCTGGCCTCCTAGCCAAGGCAGAACCTTCAAGGAGGATGGACAGCCACCCTAGCACCCCTCCCAAGAGGTGCCAGCATGCCACCTCGTCCTCCAACCTTTGCTGTGACCTGCCCCTTTGAAGAGCTGGAAATTGCTGAACTCACTCTTGCAAGGAAAAATAAAAGAAACCAAGTGTGATGGGGCATACCTGTCGTCCCAACCTGCAGAAGGTGGAAGCAGGAGGATCAGGAGTTCAAGGCCAGCTCTGGCTATATATGAATTTGAAGCTAGCCCTGGCTATATGCCAGTAGAGATGAGAGAGACCGAGACAGAGAGAAAGAGATGAAATTTTGAATGGGGTATGAAGAGACAAGAAAGAAATTCTGAATGGGCTATGAAGTGTGACCTCTTCTTGTGGGTGCAACCAGTCCATTGGCACTTGTAATTATTAGCGGCATCCACTGCACTGTTGTAGGGTTTTTGTGACTGTTCTCATCTGCATTTGAGGCTCAGGGTACAATAGAAGTTACTAGGCTCTATGTTAATACTGTATGGGAGTCTAGACCAGCTATGGGTCCTATGTTAGCTACTCAGTGGTTGCATCTTCATCTCGTTGGAGGAACACCAGCGAATGGGCTTTTCTTTGAATCTTTTGACTAGGAGCTTGGCTGCACCTGCCCCACCCCAGCCAGACTTGGCAGGCTGCCATAGGGCTGCCAGTAGCAGTGCTATTCAAGGAGGCAAGAGTCCCTGAAGCTGCTGTTGCTAATGCTGGCCTGGGATCTGCCTCAGAACCTGAGGTGGGGGGGGGGCAAACAGGGCAAGCTCAAGTCCAGCCAAAACCCTGACCTCTGTGCTAATGATGTGTTCACTGGTCTCTGTGCAAGGAATGTGTGTATGAACAAGGTTTTCCATAGCAGGAGTGTTCATGCATCTGCATTTGCATCTGTGTGAGTGCACACACAAGAGCTTGTGTCTAGGTAACGGCGTGAAGCCTCTCCTATGCCACTTCTGACCATGACACATTGTGCGTGACTTTACCTGGCAGCATATGAGTTGAGTGTTTTGTTTTGGGGCATGGAGTGAGGCCTTTTGACCAGGTGCTAAGTGCCCCCCACCTTGATGACTGACCGCCCTGACTCCTGTCTGTCTGGGAGAACTGCCTGTAGTTAGTATCTGGTAGTGACACCCACCCTGATATCACTGTGGTGCTGACAAACTACATTCTGAATGGGTGTTTTTATGTAAATCTGTGGCATGTGGAAAATCAAATAAAATGAACTTGATTTGGAAAACCAGGCAGCTATGTGGTCCTTCCAGCAGGGAGTCTTGATTGTCCATGTGTGGTCTACTTCATAGGCTCAAGTGGGGAGGTTCCTCCATTCTTTTTTCTTTTAATCATT